GTGGAGGCCCCATTGAATTTTCACGTACATGATGTCTTTAATTGGATATAAATAAGATGACTAATGGAGAGATAGTCAGTTTCACTGAAATAGATAAAATAAAATTAGAGTAAAATGAAAAGCCAACAAACCATGAAAATACTACATCTTTCACCCTCTTAACACTGTTATAGAGTTTCTCCTACAAGTTTATTTCTCCTATCTGATCATTTTTCTTTCTTCAAATATTTATCGTTTATTTTAATGAAGAAAGAATCGGAAAAAAAAAGGAATGAGAAAGAAAATAGGTTAGGCCATGTTTAGTTCAATTCTCATTTTTTATTATTCTTATTCAAGATGAAATTTTAAAATGAATAAGAATGGTAAAAATAAGAAGAATGAGAAAATATTGCTATGCAGGGGTGAAACCAGGGGGTGGCGGAGGGAAGCCATGGCCACCCCTATGCCTTCAAAATTCCCTTTAAATCTATTTAAGTTTCACTTGTATTTTAGCCCCTTTACTCATGTTTCCTAGTTTTTGCCTCCCCCCATCTATGTTTTCTAGGTTTTGGCCCCCCTCAATAAAAAATCCTAGTTCCGCCCCTATTGCTATGAACTAAACATTTTTTTTTCTTAAAAATGAATTTTTTTTAGACTGACAAATATACTATGTAAAAGTGCTTTCATAAAAATACTTTGATAAAAGTACTTTCACAAAAGTGCTTTTGTAAAAGTATTTTTATAAAAGTGTTTTTATAAAAATATTTTCATAAAAGTGCTTTCATAAAAGTATTTTTGTAAAAGTGTTTTTACAAAAATGCTTTCATAAAAGTATTTTTCTAAAAGTTCTTTCATAAAGTACTTTTATAAAAGTGCTTTCATGTAAAAGTACTTTTATAAAAGTGCTTTCATAAAAGTGATTTTATTAAAGTGTTTTCATGTAAAAGTACTTCCACGACAATCTGCTAGTAAACATCTATGGCGATAAGGGTGTCAATCGACCGGTTTTGGGTTGGATCCGATCCGATCCAAACCTTATCAAATCAAATTTGGATGATCCATTATAATTATTGGATTAGGCTAATTCAAAATAAACCAAATTTCCAATAATCCGATCATGAGGCCAAATCCTTGTCCAATTTCAAACGAATTGAAGCCAACATAAAATCACTTTTATGAAAGCACTTTTACAAAAGCACTATAAAAGTAATTTTACGAAAAGTACTATTATGAAAGCACTTTTATAGAAGTAATTTTATAAAAGCACTTTAGGAAACCACTTTAATAAAAGCACTTTTATAAAAGTATTTTTTACAAAAAGCACTTTTATAAAAGTATTTTTTACAAAAATACTTTTACGAAAGCACTCTCACAAAAGTACTTTTATGAAATCACTTTTACAAAAGAACTTTTATGGAAGTATTATTATAAAAGCACTTTTATGAAAACTTTTACGAAAGCACTTTTACGAAAGTACTTTTATAAAAGTACTTCTGTAGAAGTACTTTTATGAAAGCATTTCTGCAAAAGCACTTTTACAAAAGCACTTCTATGGAAGTACTTTTATAAAAGTACTTCCACGAAAGTACTTTTACAAAAGTAGTTTTACAAAAGCACTTATACAAAAGTACTTTTATAAACACTTCTAAGGAAGTACTTTTATAAAAGAAATTTTACAAAAGTGCTTTTTCAATGCCAAAAGGGTATATTTTTGTAATTTTCAGATTTTCTTTATTTTAATATATTTTTGTAATTTTTTATATGTTCTGTTTCTTTATATAATTTTTTATATTTGGTTTGGATTGGATCCAATCCAGACCATTTACATTTTAATGGATTAAATTGGATTTGGACTAGATTGAGTCCAGTCCATTTGTAAGTGGACTCACATTGGACTGGATCGGGTTGAACCAAATCTAGTCCAATTGACACCTCTATATGGCGGCAGCTTTGTAGGCAGAGTTTCCTCAAAGAATGAAAATGAGCAAGATGGAACATGATTATTTTTCATGGTGCAGGCTACCTCAATTTTTGTGCTATGGGCTGACTTTTCATTCTTAAAAGACAGTGGCCCAATGTAAGAATTTTGTAACCAAACACTCTAATGTTATTCATCATTGCTCATTCTTGCCCAAAATGAACAGAAATTAAATAAATGAGGCCCAGAGCAATGAACCAAACATGGCCTTATTTGTTACATTCCTGCAATTAGGGGTGTCAATGGGCTATGTTTGGATTGAACCTCATCCAAATCAAAATCAATTTGAATGAATTGAATGGACCAATAAGACATATTGAATTGGATCAGTCCAAACTTAATGGGTATTTATTGGATTGGATTAAACCTGATCCATGTTTAATGGATTTATATTGGAACTGGGTCCATGTTTAATGGATTTATATTGGAACTGGGTCCATGTGTAATGGATTGACATTGGATCTGGGTCCAATTGAACCATTATCTGGTCAATTGACAGAAGATAATAGTACAGGTGTCAATGGATCAGGTTTGGTTTGGACCCAATTTAAATTAATACCAATTTGAACAGATTGGATGGTCCAAACATTGCATTGGACAATTCCAGAATGGTCCAAAATATTCATAGGACCGGGTCGGGTTGGAGCAATTGACACATGTACACTTAACTCACCCCACCATATGAATATTACAATATCAAAATCGGTAAAAACCCAATCTCTTGTATTCATTAACGCTATGTTTGGTTTGAAGGAAAGAGTAGGGAAAAGAAGGGAAATACAGAGAAACCTATACAAGATTTGTAAAGGTTTCCCTTCATTTTCTTTCCTTTCCCTACTTTTTTTCCTTCAAAGCAAGCATAGCCTAAGTGAATTCCTAATCTTTTGCTGCTAAAGACCTCTTAGACTCAATATCTGCTATTTTGTATATGAGATGAACTATGTTTATTAGATACCTAATTAGATGTTACAAAGGGAGTTGAAAGTATACAACTCTATGTATGTACTGCCACAAATCCTTGTCACCTCATAGGCTCATATCCATAACTCATTTTTCTCACAAAAGTAAAACCTGACTTTAATCTTCAGTGAGATTTTGGGATTCATCATTTAGTTGCTTGAGTAAAACAAATTTCAGTGTTTCGGAATTTGATTAACTCGATAGAATATCAGTGAATTTCCTCTGCATTGGCCCAAGGCCCTTGAGCCAGGGCCCTTTATATTTTGACAAATGCTCCAATCCAGGCTTGTCCAAGTTGAACCCATAGCCCAATGATAGGGATTGTGGGTGAAATAGGAGAGATCTCAAGGAGTTCACTGATAGACTGTAATTGCTTTAAAATGTTTTGTGGCTCAGTAGTTTTTCTTAGCCCTAAAAACACTTATAGGCGCAGCTAACACCAACCCTTTCTTTGTAACCCTTGCTTTATTGTCTAAATGAAATTTTCAATCCAATGGGTTGATAAAATGAAGGGCCTAACAGGATATATCCCCAGTTCAAATTGTGATGTAGAAGCATCAATCGTCCTATCAAACCATATTGATGCATTGGAGCTTTCATCTGTCTTTGTTGAATCACTGCCCTCTTTGAAGCTTAAACTTTAAACCATTCATTCAATCAGCTGCCTTTTTAGTCCACAAGGAAAATTCCATGCATTCAACTGTCACTATTTCCTTTTTCGTCAACTAATTTCCATTTTGTCTTGTTAGGGAGAGACTTTAGGCTAAATATTTGACAATCTAAATAAAGCAGCTTCTTTAAAGCTGAAAGAAGTCTCTTGAGGATGTATGCTAGCCACATAGGTGCAATGGAGCTGTCAAAGCTTTCCCCCTTTTTTTTCTTTCTTTTTTGTCTCAAAGTCAAGTTGTGATCTAGAAGCTCTTTACTTTAGGCTGTGTTGGTTTTGAAAGAAACCATTTTCTTTCAAACCAAACACACCCTTAGAGTTAACACCTGATTAGGACTGAACTGATTCGTGATGAATCATTCAAGCAAATTCTCACACGTCTGTGCACAGCCATTTGCAAATTTTCTTGACAGCGTTTCCTCTTAGTCCCATTCCTAATATGACAGATATTAAGCAATTGCTTTCATGGGAATAGTCCTCTTCATAGACCGGGTAGCCCAACTGGATGGCCCTCCCTGGCCTAATCCGTTTTTTATTGGACTTGGACATAGCTTTAGGCCCGTGGTTTGGGCTTGGGATTTCTCAAATAAGCCAGGCTGATCTCGATCTCGAGTCTGGCCCAATAATATTATATATAATAAAAATATTATTAATAATGTAATATGTTAATTTATTATTAAAGCACATCATAGGTATTAGTTAAGACCATTTTTTTATGTTGAGACCAAGTTTATAAGGGCTGGGCTCATGCCTGAACATTTTCTGTTAATAAAGACTAAAGAGGCAAAACCCTCTTCAATTATTGCTTATTTCTGTTGATAAATTTAAAACACCGAAGTTCTCTTTCCAACAACAGAACAAAGAGATTGCTTGGGAGGATGGGCATTTCTCATTTCTCAATAATCGCTTGCTTATAATGGGCCCATACAGCAAGGGTCAGCTCCGACTCCGAGAGAGAAGATAAACGGTAGTCGCACGCAGAGAAGGAAAATGAAGAATTTTCTATTTCTTTGCTTAGGCAGTTGGGCCTAAGAATTTTCTTGAGGTTAGAACAGAATCCGGGGAAATGGGAGATACGAACTTGTGATATTGATTTCAAGCGAACGTACTACGGTTTAGTCACCCCATTAAACAACCTACTGAATTGTTTATTTACTTTGATCTGCCTTATCCGTGAAAGAAAATGTCAAATTGGAGAAAGGAGATGGAGACATCAGGCATGGTTGTGGAATAAATGATAAACCCAATTTTGACAACTAGAAATATTGTCATTTCTGTAGCCCTTCTAGAGACTCTGACCCATGGACGTGCGGGTCCCAACAATTTTTTGTGGCTGAGAGAAGTAAGAAGTTGGAACAAAAAACTTGCCCCCCCCCTACTGAACTTTGACCTCATTTCTCATAGTTTGGATCAGATCCCACCTAATCAGCCGATCTCCTATCTTGTGAGCAATTAATGGTTTACTCCACTGATCCACTCCAACAGGCACAGGCCCTTCGTCCGCTCTAAAATTTAATGCGTTAACCTTTATGGTGAGAGCCGTGGTCAAGAGTCAAGATTTGAAAGTTGAATAAATATGCCATTAGTTGTTGTTTAAATAGCTCAATCCCCTGTTTGAACTATCAACCTTTTCTGTTTTTAATTTCAGTTGGAGTAGGAAGAGTCTTCCACAAAAATGGCAGAGGCAGAGGCAGTGGCAGAGTTCATTAACAAACATGGGAGATGGTCTCTCAAAGGAATGACAGCTCTTGTCACTGGTGGAACCAGAGGAATCGGGTCTCTCTCTCTCTCTCTCTCTCGCTCTCTACACGTCGGAACTGGGTTAAAAGGTTTCAGGTATTTATTATATGGACTCATGCTCTGTGCATGTTTGTGTATACACTTGCAGGCATGCAGTAGTGGAGGAATTAGGCGGACTGGGAGCTATTATATATACGTGTTGTCGGAATGAAACGGAGCTGAGTGAACGGTTGCAGGAATGGACTAGGAAGGGTTTCCAAGTAACCGGCTCAGTCTGCGATATATCATCTCGGCAAGGACGGGAGAAGTTGATGGAGTCCGTCTCCTCTGCTTTCAATGGGAAGCTCCACATCTTTGTAAGTTTACCTCTTGCATATTGCATGGGTGCAGCTATTTCAATTACTAAAAGCATTGTTCTTCTTTAGGCTCTGTTTGTAACCTTTAATGTGCACTCTTAGCTGATACAAAATTTGTACCATTTGTCTCATTTGCACTCCCCAAGAGCTGATGCCAAACTTGCACCTCTTTCTCCTACTTCCATTCTCTAGGAACCACGTCATTTTACAAACAAATAACACAAAGTAAATCTGAAGCAAAAGTAAATCACAATTTTACACATTTGTTTGCACTTCCAGGCATTTACACCAGTGTAAATGAAACTCACACTGCAAACAAACTGAACCTTAGCCCCAAATTGGGAGAGAAAATAAGAAAGAAACAGAAAGCTGAGGAAATTTAAAGGATTTTTGTGAAATTCCTCAACTTTCTGTTTCTCTTAATTTCTATCAAACCAAACAGAGCATAGTGGTCTTTGAACTAGCTAATTCATAGGTTCTCTTTGTAGGCTTACAACATCAGCTATAGCATTATTATTCTAATTTCTAAGGTTCCTGGATTCTTCTAATTCCTAAGGTAAACAGGAAGAGCTTGGAAAGGCTGAAAGAGCCCTTTCCAAGATTGGTGCTGATAGAACTAGAAAGGCATGGATTGCCCTGTAAATGGCTAGGTGATAAAAGCCAAAGATCTTTCTGGCGAGAAATATATATTGCAGACATACAATGAATATGGAAAGTCTTTTATTCTAGATCCCAATCTGTTGATTGCTAGAAATGTTATTAGTGTTCTTATGTTTTGACACTTCATCTACACTTGGATCTCATTACTGGTAGCTTTATAATTTTGATTTTCTTGTCTCCAGGTGAACAACCCTGCAACTGTAGTAATGAAACAAATCTTGGAGAGTACTGCTGAAGATTTAACATCTACCATGGCTGTCAATTTTGAGTCTGCTTATCATTTATGCCAACTAGCATATCCTCTCTTGAAAGCCTCAGGAATGGGAAGCATTGTGTTCATATCCTCCCTTTCTAGTGTGGTCGCTTTACCTTACATGTCCGTTTATGGAGCATCAAAAGGTTTGTAAAGATTTATGGAAATAGTAAAAGACCAGGACTAGGGGTGGCAACGAGCCGGCTCGGTTTCAGATGAGCTCGAGCCCAGTTCAGTGGCTCGATTATTAAACGAGCTGAGCTCGAGTCTATTAGAGCTCGGCTCGCGAGCCGGTTCGGATATATATATATATTTGATATATATATAATATATAATAAAAATATTATAATTATTAATTATTATAGTTCTTAATTTTTTAAATATAAAATAAAAAATTATATATAATTTTTATTTTTATAAAATATTTTTAAAAAATATAAAACGAGCCAAGCTGAGCCGAGCTCGAGCTTGAGCCTTGTAAAATAGTCTCAAGCCGAGCTCGAGCCTAGTACTATTCGGCTTGGCTCAACTCGAATCCACCCCTAACCAGGATTGTTTGGCAAGTCTTTTTTAGATCTTTTGGTAGATTTGACAGTCAAAAGACAATGTAATCTTTTGCATTAAGACCTTAGCAGCTTGAAGACCATTTAGTTAAGGCGTGTCTTTTCGCGCAAAGACGAGCTGAAAAATAAACGAAATGTTTCATTTGGAGATTTCTGAAAATAGTCCAAAACAGATTTCCCATGTTTTTTCGAGGTTATACCTTTTGGTGACTAGATCTTTTTTCAACCAAACAGAAAAAAAAAAAAAAACACACATAAAAAACCAACAGTGTGCATGAAAAAAAAAACACACCAAATGGAGGAGTTGCACAAATATCTTACTTGTTATGGTATGCAATTTTCAGGAGCAATAAATCAAGTTACCAAGAGTTTGGCATGTGAGTGGGCAAAGGACAATATCCGAACCAACAGCGTTGCACCATCCATCATCAGAACCTCAAGTGTAGAACCTGTAATGTTCATTCAATGGTTTTATATTTTTTTAGGGTAACTCACAGGCTGCATGTAGTTAGGGGGTRGTGACGTTTATATTAGCCCCGGCCCCAAAATTTGTTTTGCCACAAAGACGCCCTGAATTTTTGGATTTCAGCATTTTGCTCCCTATTCCGTTAACGGGACTGACAGTGATGTTAAAATTACAAAATTATCCATTTGAGATTCAATGGGCTGAGAGAACAGTATCTCTGTGGGGCTGGGTTACTGGGAACCCTGGATGATGAACCCCATTTATTCTTCAACAAGGGTTTGGAAGCACGTCAAAAATCCGAGAGTTGTACTCTAGCATACCCATTTTTTTTTTCATTTTGATAGCCTTTTCTCTCTCGGCCCATTGAATCTCGAATGGGAAATTTAGTAATTTTGCTTTCATCATCAACCTTATTAACAGAGTAGAGGGCAAAGTGCTAAAATCCAGAAGTTCAGGGGGATCTTTATTGAAAAACAAAGTTTGGGGGGGCTACACCAACCCCCAAGAGGCCAAGACACAGGGTGGCAATCTGAAATTGACCCTACTTTTAAAATGCTTTAGGATCTATTTTATTTGCAGGAATAGGGGTTAGGAATCAGAAACAAAATCTATTCTGATTCCAGCTGTTTGATTGGATAGAATCAGAATTCAGAATCCCATTCCCATTCTGGGTGGAATGGCATTCCCCATTTGAGGGAATCGTCACTCCCCATCAGGGAATGAAAATCTATTCTAGTCAATTTTGATTCTGATTCCAATTCCAGTCTGAACCAAACAGGAGAGGTGAATAGAACACTCCGATTCCGATTCTAACTGTAAACCAAACGGACTCTTAAGTGAAGTGGATGTCAATACCAATGGTTTTGTTAATTGTGGCAGATATTGGGTTCCACTTTTAATGTGACACAATGCATTCCTTCAGTTCTGAAGCTTCACCTCTAATAAGTCTTTACCCATCTTTAACTTCAGAAAGCCTCTCATAAGTTCCTGAAATCGGACAATCTAATAGTTTACTTTTCCCACTTGATGAGGCTTTGAGCACCTCACCACCAACCTCAAAAATCTTTCCTTCATAATGGATGGAACCCAGTAAGTGAAATCTTTAACCAAAGGAACTCCGAAGGCACTCAGTTACATTTTGCTGCAAATGGGTTCATTGATCAACATTTCAATTAATCGAACACGTAGAGAATAAATATTGATATTCTTCTCCATACTTGATGATAATCTTGTCTCCTCCGTTTCTTGATTCTGAACACTGAACACCAAAATTTTCATAAGTAACTGACAACAATTCCTGCGCCTGTCTATTTTATACAGTATCTTGAAAACAAAGAACTTGTGGAAAGAGTAATCTCCAGAGCGCCCATCACTCGAATTGGGGAGCCGCAAGAAGTTTCGTCGCTGGTGGCGTTCCTTTGCCTCCCTTCTGCTTCATATATTACCGGGCAGGTTATTTGTGTTGATGGTGGATATGCTGTGAATGGTTTCTACCCAACTCATGACTAGATGCTTCATCTCAGCAATTTCCATTATTGCAGCAAGGACTAGGAGAATTTCTGTAGTTGAACTATGTAATGTGGTAATCTTGTGTTCTTGATTACTAAGAACTAATAAAGTCGGGCTCTGTCTGTAGACAATAAAATAACTGAATTATGAAATTGTTGCTTGAAACAGTTCGAACTGTTTGGTACCTTATGACACCATGTGAATGCTTTTGCCTTTTAGCACAGAGGAAAACTTCCCATTTGATGAGTATTGAATTGCTTATACTCTTTTGAATTTTCAGCAGCTTTGGGTATGCGTTGTAAACCCGAACATACGGGTATGCAATCTAGAGAAAATTTGTAGGAAAAAGAAATGACAAATTTCTTAAACTACCCGAAGGTTCAAGAAAAAGAGAAGGGCGTGCAAACCAATTCCACCGTTTGTGGTGTCAATTACCCAGAGGAGAAGATGATTGTGAGCTATTAGGGCATGCCTCCGGCTAATCTCATGAAGCAGGACAGCTCGAAGTGGAAATGTAATAGCTTTAGGGTACCCTTCTTATTTGTTTCTGGATTTGAATTCAACTTACACACAATCACGCTCGTAAGTCATAAACATTTTATTCTCCATGAATTAAATGGCATAATTTTAGCACTGTTATTATTATTTCTGTGATACAACCTTGGGAGACGTATAAGGCAGACCTGTCGATCGATCTGAAGAAGCACCATTCACCCGTTACGTTCATGGACTAGAGAATAGTTGAATTGATCTAAAAGAAGAAGATTACAACTTAAGCATGTTGTTAGCTGGTCTTAAACAAGATTGAGTCAAATAAGTTATTTGTTATTTCTGTTAAATTGTTAGCATGAGAAGGCATAGGGATAGGTCATATAGTTAGAAGGCTAATCCCTTACTTTAAGGCTATTTCAGTGGTAGGAAGTTAAGAAGTTTATGTATTTAAACATCATCCCACCACATGGATGAGGCAGTTGAAAGTTAATAAACCTCTTGTGGCCTATTCTCGCCCTAAGCAGAATACTCTATCTCTCTCCAGCTTTGACTGGGACCTATCATTGGTATCAGAGCTAGGCTCCATGGCAACCAACAAAGAAAGAATTGAGAGTTTGGAAGTTGGGCTTGGAGGACTCCAAGCAAGTTTGAGCAAGCTCGAGTTAGGTGTTAATGACAAGTTACACCAGCTTGAGGCAACTATTAGTAAGATGTCTGAAGTCTTGTTGACGCGACAGGAACCATCTGCGAGCCACGCTAATGAACCCAGCGGACAGTCCTCCTACGGACAATCCCGTGACAATACAGAAGGAGGACGACCCATGTTTTCCTCAAAGTTAGACAAGCTCGAGTTTCCCAAGTATGCAGGTGATGACCCAACCGAATGATTCGCCCGTGTTGATCAGTTCTTCGAATACCAACACACCGAGGATCCACAAAAGGTGTAAAGGAGGTAA